TCAGAAATAAGAAGAAAAATGTGATATATGATAATTCCAATAAAATATAACCATATAATCTGATAATTCAAGAAAAAATATTCATATAATCTGATAACCTCAAGAAAATATAATTATATAATCTGATAACCCAAGATAATATAATCAATATAATCTAAGCTAAGCTGAATAAAATATTAAAATCATATACTATTTACATAGTATATGATTTTAATATTTTATTCAGCTGCCTTTTTATTTTTTAAAAAAATAAAATCTAAAAAAAATATTAATGAGGCTTGTATAATATCCTCATAAATCTTAATATTATAAATTCACTTAAAAAGATTGAGATTTCCTTTAAAGAGAAAGCTATAGGGGTCTTTTCTCTCTTTAAAGAAGAAGCTATAGAGGCTTTTTCCCTTTTAAGAAAAATCACACAAGCAATTTTTTCAAAAAAATGCCTCTGATAATGATTCTATATAAGGAAATGCCTTTGGCAATGATTCTCTTTAAAGAAAAAGCCATAGAAATAATTTCATTTAAGGAAAAGCCACAGATGCAATTCCTTTAATAGAAATATCTCTGAAAACAATTTCTATCAAAGGAAAAGCCATAGAAATGATTCCTTCAATAAAAAAGATACAGAAACAATTTCTTCAATAGAAACACCTTTAAAAAATAATTCCCTTTACTAAACTATTTTTAGGCAATTTTTAATTTTAAAATATTTGGGATTAAATCATTTATTTGTAATAAATACCTTTACCTAAATTTCTAATAGGTTTTTTTAAACTTAATGAAATTTAATCAAGTTTCAGATTTAAGAAAAAGAAAATTCTAAAGTTTTGAAAGTTTCTAAATTTTTAAGCTACATATTAAAATAGGTTTTGAATAGCATTATCAATTGGTTTTATTACTATAAAAATTCTCAATTATTAAATTCTGAAAAATAAAGATGGTTCCCATAATTATTTTTAAAATTTTTAACTAGTTACAACTTAAGTTGCAACACATTGAGTTGTAACATTTTATGAATTTTTATATTAAAATAAATTTACAAGGAGTTGTAACTAAGTTGCAACTTCTTAATTATAGTGCCCATCTTTAGTTTGAAATATATTTATTATTCTTTATTTACCTAATTATTTATTTCATTAATAATATATAAAGAATTTCATGATATTATATAAAATTTTAAAGTAAATTGTTAATAAAAATGTTTTTTTTTAACAAAATGCATAAGAAAAATATTACATAAAATCTAAAAAATAAAAATAAAAATTATAATAAAAAGGGAAGAATACTGAAAATAAGTTAAATAATCAAGATATTTAAAAAAAATTAATATTATTATATAATTTATCATTACAATTACTATCATTAGTAGTAAAAAAATATTTGTAAAGCTATTAAAAAAAACTTTATAATTAATAGAGAGTTTATTTACTAATAATACTAAGCTTAATTAACTTCTTGAATAAAATTTTATATTTTCATGAATCTTATTTAAACTAGTTGTCAAATATTATCACTATTTAATTAGATGATAATACAAGTGATAATACAGAATAAGTTTTTACAATAAAGCATTTTCAAAATAAAAATAAAAATAAAAAAAAATATATATCAAAAAAATCAAATAAAATCCTTTATATTTTTTATTTTATTTTATTTTTTTTTTTTGCCTTAATTTTTTTTAAAAAAAAATATTTATCTTACAAATGAAAAGGTTGTCGCCAAAAAAGAAAATGATGCAACGTTAAAAATAATATAAATATATATATATATATATTTTAAGATTTCATAGGAGAAATTTGTCATAATAAGAGCTATATAATAAGCTATGATGTTAGAGCTATAAAGAACTCAAAAAGTCGAAAAAAAAGTTTAAAGAGGTGGACCAAAATTTCCTGTGTTGTGAAAATAATACTGAAGTTCCAGAGTAATAGAAAACAAGTGTTAGGATCCTTATACCACGTGTGTAAAAAGAAGGTTCTTCCCATGCTAAAATAAATGAAGGATCAAGAATCAAAACAATAAATTCGAATTCGAATAATGCTTCATTAGATATTAAAAAAAAATATAATGGAAGGAAATGCGAAAAAAATTAAAATATTAAACATTTGACTAAAATTTACGTTTATATAATTTCAGGCAGATGAAAAAATTCGAAAAATTCGAAAAATTAAAAAAAAAGAGAACTTTTTTTCAAAAAAGGAATATAATAAAAATTTACAAATGGAATGATGAATCAATCATCCATAAAAAAAAAACCCCCCCTAATAAAAATGTCTAAATCTATTTTTGTTGTATATACGTGTATTCACAATATTATACGTTATATTTTTCTATATTTTATTCAACCCATTACTTAAAGGAAAAAAATGTTCGAAAATAAAATATTTCCGTCATGAATTAAAAAAAAAACTATTTTTTTTTCTTATTACAAACATCCTCTTCATATCTCTTCAATCTTCAAACATGTCCACCATTTCAATCCTTGCTCGCTTAGCGTGAGGAGAATCTCTTTCTATGTCTGGAACACCGGGAGTTGACATTAATGAGACATTGTTATTATTTTCAAGTGAAGAAGATGATGAGCTCATGCTCATGTTTGAAGAAATCGCTGCCGATAAAACAGCTTGCTCTTGTTGCTGCAGTTTCTGTTGTTGTTGAAGTTGCTGTTTTTGTTTCATTTGTTGTTGCTCGGCTTGTTGCATAGCGGATAAAGCACGTTTCCTCGTTATTTTTGCAAAATCTTTCGAAGAGGAAGGAACATATCATTAAAATTAGGGTAAGAAAAGAATCAAAGGGTGCGATATATGATGATACTTACGAAGGCCACAAGCGTTGCATAGAGTTCTTGCACCATCGGGACCACGACGCCACTCAGGAGTTTCAGATATGTTACAGGAATGACATCTTCCGGGAGGCGCAGCACGCTTCTGATAAAGAACAAATCAATGCGATTAATAAACTTATTCACCACCGAGACAAACCGGCATTACTTTTAGATAATTCAGATCACTTACACTTCGCTTCCTGTACTTTGTCCGTGAAGATGTGGTAATACTCGTCCTCTGCTTACGAATCAAATCAATTTCATCTTGACTTGTCTAAATGAAAATAATTAGCACAATGTTTAATAAATTGACACCAACCGAAAATAAATGGTCATCTATCAATATGCTTACCTCGGCTAGGAATCTTGCAGATACTTCACTCTTTAGACTAGACAAGACATTTAATACATCATAAGCTTTATTTATCATATTGGTCAAATGGGACTCGTTCACTTGAAGAACGATACCATTCCAAGGATTATGATTAATTCTCATGTCACGATATTGCGAAGCAAATTGAGCGATTTGGTTACAATGGTCTATAACCTTCCCTATTTTAGCAAGCGATTGTTCTGTGGTTTGTTGGATATAAGGAGAATCATTATCATCTCTGCTAATATTATTACCGGTAGAAGTATATGAAGTAGAAGTAGCATATGGAGGAGGGTAATCTGAAGTTGAGGAAGTAGTAACAGGCGAATGAGAATAATTACTAGTGAATCGTTGCTGTTGTGATTGTGGAGCGTATTGATACTGTGTCGGTGGAGAATGTTGATGTTGAAAATATGAAGAAGAAGGAGATGGTTGTGGTTGTGGTTGTTGTTGTTGTCTTGACCACAATGAAGTAGTAGTATCACAACGAGGTGGCGGTAATGAATATGAAGGAGAAGAAGTGAAACTCGACCTTCGCGCAAGGATTGGTTGTGGTGGTTTTTGATAATTTAATTGCGAAGGAGGACTTGGCGGAGTAGACGATCGTTGTTGAAATGATGAATTTTGAAGGTTGACAATAGAAGCAGGCGACGTATTATGAAGTGGTTTTGGCATTATTGTTGGCGGTGGTAATGGATTAGAATTAATCTCATGTAGGGAAGGACGTAAAATAGAAGTTAGGGAAGGAAGTGGGTGTCCCTTTTTCTCGTTCGTCATTTCAACCAACCTAAAAAGAATCAAAAGGGGAGGTGAATTTTTTGTATTTTTTTTATATTTTATCATTTTTCAATTTATTATTTTTTTTTTTTTAGTAAAAATTTCATCATACATACGGTGGAGAAGGCAAACTTTGTGTATGAGATGTTGAAGGAGTAAATACCGAAGTTTTCCTCGGGATAGATTGGTTTGGGGACGACGAACACATTGAAAGAACATCCATTTTTTTTTTGACTTTTTTGACGAAGGAAAAAAAAGTTATAAATATAATTAATTAATTTCAAAAAGTATAGTTAATAATTTTATTTAATGTGATATATTTTTTTTGTTTTTTTTAAAAAAAAAAAAACAAAGGAGTAAACTTTTGCTTAGGATGAATATAAAAGAAGCAAAAGGAGTTTTCAAAACAAATATATAATATAAAAAATTTTTTTTATTTCGGTTTGAAGGGAAAAAAAGTAAAAAAGAAAAAAGAGAAAAAGGAAGTTGAAAGAGGTCTGAATATATGTAAAATATTGTAAAGTACGCTTTGAGGTAATTGTGCAAGTTTAGTGGATAAACATGCGATTTTTATTTGATTTCTGTGAGATCAAATAATTGATTTTAGATAGTATTTAGATTGAGTTTTGGCTGTTGTCATGCAAAGCAAATCCTAATTTAAAAAAGAGAAAAAAAAAAGAGGCATTTTAGCTGGCATAAAAATAAATGAGTTCTAGACTCGGATGTGTGTGCGGGTGCACACATATATGTATAAATGTAACCTTGATTATGTGATGGTTCGAATATTTTTGGTAATAATTTATTAATATGGTCAAAGAGTAATAATTGTCATATCAAGATCTTGATCTGGTGATGCCCGATTATTTAAAACTGAGCAATGGATCTTCAAAAGTATATCAAAGGACAAGAAAGAAAAGTTTTGTTACATCTTGAATCATTTAATTCCACATATTTAAACTTACTTCCTCCATAGGTTTACATATATACTGTCGATCAATCAATACAAATAATACAAATAACGGGAACGGGTACATGCTAATATTTCACCACATTTTTTCTATCATCATTTTATTCTAAAAATAGTTTAGCCCTTCTTGTTTTTTGATATATTAAATGAAACCACCTGTCAAAAATGGTAATCTAATCTTCTGTGAGCGAAAATAACTCGAGATCTACCAATTCGTTACTTCTTGTGGCATTTAATGATCATCCATCATGCATAATTTAACTTTGACCCAACGATTTGATAAAAAAACTAAAAAAAATATGGCGGAATCTTAATTCCTATTGTCATTAAGTCATTGTGCTTTAAAAATATGTAAGATTACGATTAGTTCGATTTACTTATCCACATTTGAAGGCAAAAAAAAACAAACTCTCGTTATTTTCTCTTATCATCCATTTTTGGTAATTGAATGCGATAAATAAAACGTTTTAAAGTTACTTTCAAGTTTCTTTTTTGCCTTTTTACAATCGATTATAATGATTGAAAGACTTTTCAATGACATAATGACGAGAACAAGGAAAACACATTCCTTGTAACAAATGTTTACAATGCTCATAATCGTCAGTTCATTGGTGAATCGTTTTTCATTGTTCTCCTTGTTTTATCATCATCATTTTTTTTAAAGAATTTTTCTTTTTTTCGAAATTATAATTATATCTTGGAGTGACAAGAACAAGGAAAAGACAGTTAGTTACTATTACCAAATAAGTTTATCCAAAACAACCGTGCTCGCGATATACGAGGAAGCACGTAGTGATATGCCTCAAGTAGCACCATAATCTTCCCAGAAGGACAGATATTTTAAGGGATTATTAATCGGTAACACAATCTTGTACCCAATCTACTGTTCTATCAATTAAGTTTATCGTATCGGCTGTTGAACAAACACCCTCCTCTTTTTTTTTTTTTGATAAATGGTTTTTCAAAAAAAAAAATTATATTATCATCTAATCGCTTTTAGGTTACTAATCTCTTGCCATAATGCACCAAACTAAAAAAAAGTGGCAAATTTGAAGTTTTTGGTGTGACCTTGTGATTCGTATTGATCTTTGACAGTTAACAATATTAATGATATTCTCATTATCATCTCGCCCAAAATTAAATGAGAAAAAAAAATTTACCATATCGTCAATAAAAAACGTCATTATGCTTATCAGTTTCAAAGAAAAAAAAAATGCGCCAATGATAACTGATCCAAGTTTCAAATTTGTATGATTTCATTTCATTCGTGTGAACTTCAAAGTGTGTTTACCAAATTAGTAATTTTTTTGTTAATTTTCATAAACCGATAAGACCACTTCTGATAAGGGCACGATTTACCTTAATTAGCATCTCCTTTCGGTTAGAGGAAAATTTTTTTAAAAATATGTGGTTATTATGGTTATGGTTGAGTGACGTCGTAGTTAAAAACAACAAAAGGGTTCCGAACGCGTGATGATTCTTGTTAATAAGGAAGGGATGATATGACAAGTGTTTAAGATACGAGCATTTATGAAATCCATGTTTTGTTGTAACTTTGTAACTTTCCCCCCAAAAAAACTTGTAACGATAAATAAACACTGATTTAATTAATGTAAAACATATAAAGATGACTAAATGGCGTTTCTCAATCCGTAAATGGAATTTTACCAAGCTTTTATGTATGCATTAGATTGTGTCCAAGTTCCCTTATCGAATCTTTTTAAACGCAATTAATAAAGTTTATCTTTTATCGTGCATCTAAAATAAATAATTTATCTTTCGATGGTAGGTAGGCGCACAAATCAAGGAAAGGTAAACATCATCAAAAAAGCTTGACAAATTCGGTCAAGGTTAATATGCAGTCCTTTAAAAAAAGAAATTGATTGGAATTTACCAAATTTTCTTTTTATTTTTCTTTATTATTATTTTTTCTTCTCGCGTATGCGCAATGCGCAAGAGAAACCAGTGACACTGTACCTTATGATCCGATAATGTGCCTGATCAATTAATTAAATTATTCACGTAAACCTTCGGAGCGGATTGTTAGCAAATGAATGCTAAGCGTTCATCGTTATGCACATACCGGTACATTTAAATGTTTTGGGTGCATTCAAAAAGGATCTAGACAAGATGCACAAGGTGTTACTTATTTTGTTTGTTTTTTTGTTTTTTATAATTTTATTACTTTACACAAAATGTATTGCAAATGAAATGCTATGCTTATCGACGCTTTCTTCAGGCAGAAGGATCTTAACAAGAAACAAAACAAATTAGCGTTGATTGTTTTAGATGATGATCTCACCAATCAAAATTCAGCAATTTAACTTCGGCCAGACCAAGTAAATCGTACACACAAATTAAACACACAGGGGAATATATAAGTAAAACAGATATAAATCACGCACATCATAGGTTCATGAGTCCGGAAAATTTTTAATGAATTCATAGATTAATTAATTAAACCTTATAACATAAAACAACGTAAACAAATGGTTGCATCAATAAAACAGAGATGACCAATTATAATTCGTGTTGAGATTTGACATGATTACGTGCTCAAAGGACTTGGCATTTTTTTAATTACGCTCACATAAACTAGTAACGGGAACGACAGAAGATCAACTGATTATAAATTTCTACCAAAGATATTGTAATCGTGATACCAATAAAATTAAATAATTCATCGTTAAAAAATTGTTGGTAATTTTTTTTTTGTTTACTTCGAATTCCTTGGCGCAGTATTATTTACGGTGGGACCGCATTGAGATGGTACCACCAGGAATTAATAATTGTGGTGACAAATCAGGGAGCAGATATCATTTGATCAATATTAATGCGTGATAAATTATTCTATTGATTTGATCAAGTATTTCATTCATGCTTGCCTGATTTGAAATCTCGAAACGATTGGACATCAACGACATTAAGGTTTTGATTATCATACGTCAAACCTTGAATGGTTGATGAATATTATGAGAAAGGGGTGTGAAAAAAAATTTTTTTTTTCAAGGGGGTTTCTTCAATTGAATCATTGTATTTTTTTTTTTCATTTGAAAAAACAAAGATAACAAGACGAATGGCAAGATTTTTCAATTGCATCCATAAAACTCTATTCGGATTTTCAGTTTTAATTTATCTTTATTGATTATATTCGTGTGTATAAATTTCCTTTAATGAATGTTGTGTAAGATTTCATTTGCTTTTAATTAATAATTATAAGAAGAAGAATTTGTAATAAATTGTTTCGATTGTGTGGATCATGCTTTGAAATGTCAAAAAAAAAAAAAAATTAGCCCTCGTGAAAAGGAATTTAGAAAATGTTTGGGAAGATCTTATTTTGGGGTTGATCACGTGATAACAATACGATTGTAAGGCGTTTTGTTTCATACGATGTGATGATTTATATGGGATATAAGAAACTGTTCGGCAAAATTCTCGAAAATTCAGAAATCACGATCGCGTGCGCTTTAAAAAAAAAAAAAAATAATGCATAAACATCTTAACTTTAATTGGCATACATGCACATTCTTATTACAAAAATCTATTTATGATACAAAATGACAATTACCTGTCACTTGATTTTCTTATTTTGGTCGATATGTCATAATATGATCCTAATCGCATTGTTTTCATTGTTTTAGTTTCATATGAAAAGATCATCCTTCTTTTTTTTTTTTCTTTTTTCAATAAGATCGCGCGGTTTGATAATGTAAGGGTTCTCATTTAAAAACTTATTCAAGATAAGCGATTTCGCCGTTTTTTTTTTTTTTTTTTTTTTTTTTTTTTTTTTTTGACAATTCCAATTACATCAACTGACAGTTAATCTATCATGATTTAAGATTAAAACAAATAAAATTAATATTAATGAAGAATGCGTTTGAATGAAATGAAATCTTAAAGAAAAAAAAAATTACCTGTTCTTTTGACATGTGTAGTTGTTCTTTTATTAAAATCGTCGATCCGTTTTTTAATATCCACCTTTCGCGTGGTTTCTATGATATTTTTTTATTTTATTTATTTTACATTATCTTCCCCCCCCTTCACACATTAAAATCATATGAAATTTTATATCTGCACCCGATATTTACACGATCGCATCGATGAAAATAATTCAAGATAATGGTGATATTGATAAGAACAACAAAGACCCAAAATATTGGTCTAACGGTAAAAAGTATTTTAATAACAATATAATTAGGCTAATAAGCACGCGCGTTTTAGAACCGCCGATCTCGATTGTTTAAAAAAATTTTCAG